TGCAAAAAGTATCAACATTTACCAGGCTACACTCAATTCCTTCCTCCAGTGATTGCAGCCTTTCTTCCGCAGTGGTGGTTACCGAAAGGAACCATCATCAATCCTGCTGGATTTTTCCTCATGGACACCATGAAGGCTTCTGCACAGCAGTTTCAAAGCGATCACTATAAGGTGATTATTGGATTGATCAATTTGGCCTTTGTTGTTCATACTAATCCCGAGATGGGAAAAGAAATTGCCACGAAAGGAGCCAAACTGTACAAAAAGACTACTCAAACAAAACGTACCTTTGTAGAACTCTTCAATGGGAGCAATATATTTGCAGAGGATGATCCGATGGTGTGGTCGCATCAACGCCACTTGATCGAGCCAAGCTTTGCTCCTGAATCATTGCGTATGGTCTCATGTGTGACTGAAGAGACCTTACGGAACGACATGTTTCCCTACTTGAATGAAAACTTGAAGAGGAGAGATGTCATGTCCGAGTTTGCAAAACTCACCATGGATGTGATTGGAAAAGCTGGCTTTTCGTATCGATTTGATAGTTTCCATTCAAGAGAAGATACGCTCGAACAAAAGACCAACTTTTTCATGCAATATGTGGATGCTTTGAGAATACTGCCCACTCGATTTTTGAGAAAGCACTTCAAAGTGGGACTCTATGCCAAGCTACATGATTCGGTAGAATCTTTCCAACATGTGATTATGGATATTATTCGAAAGAGAGAGCTCGAAGAGAGTTCGTTGGAAAATCGTGCTGAAAAGGAGGACAAGAGTGACGTCTTGTCATTGTTATTGCGTGACCGAAAAGTAAGCAAGAGAGTAGCGGAGGAAGTCTCACGGATGATGAGTTGGTTTCTAATGCGTTTGTCTTGCTTGTGGCAGGACATGAGGTAGGTGTTAGGTGTTTTTGATTATGATAGGACAACTCTGAAAATGTTGAAAAACAAACTGCAACCTCTGGAATTCAATTTTATTATGAAACAATAATAATTTTGGGAAATATCACTTAATTATTCGGTGAACCATATATTTCACGTTTTTAAAGACGACTGCACGTACTCTTGGATTTGCTTTCTATTTACTTTGTAAAATCCACACATTCAAAAAGAACTTCATCATTTTGTGGATCAATTTTGTGAAACCTATCAAAAGGAAACTTTCGATTATGAAGACTTTCATTCTGGAAGATTGGATAACATCAAAGCAGTTTTTAGGGAAACTCTTCGATTGTATCCTGTGGCCATTGGAATTGTAAGGGAATTGGTGAAGAATATTGAATGGCACAAAAAAACAATTCCAAAAGGAACTCTTTTAGTATATTCATGGGTTCTTTCCATGATGAGTGAAGAACATTGGGAGGATCCAGAATCTTTCAAGCCCACTCGATTCCTGAAAATGGATTCAAAGAGTAAGGATGATCCAACACTTGGAGAAATTTATAATCCCCAGTCGAATCCATTTATTTATACACCTTTTGGAATTGGAGGAAGAATATGTAAGTAGTTCATTATAGAGGATGGAAATTTTACTATCTACCATTGATTTGTCTCAACCTTTTAGGTATTGGAAAAAGCTTTGCAGAAGTTGAAGGGGTAATTACGTTGGCCTATCTTGCAAGAAACTACTCATTCCAATTGTCAGATCCAAATTATAAATTAGATGTGGACATGAAAGTGACATTGCGTCCAACTGAACCCATACTCGTGGACTTTAAAAGAGATGACCATTCCTTTCTCTCGAGCACCCGAATAAAATTCAAATGAACGCAAGAATTGTTTTTTTTAAACAAAAAAATGAGAAAACGTAAACAAACTTCCTCATCATCATCGTCGCAGATAGCAACCTCATCATCGGGATCATCAAGCAACAACAATACTACCACCGTGGTCATTAATGAAAAACAAAATATCAACTCAATGATTTATTACATACCGCATGTTGTAAAAACAGTGAATTTTATGTGCAAGATTCCGTACTGCAAACGTTTAAATCAATTGTCAAACAAGGAGATGTCTATGTCGAATCAGCCTATCATCAATTGATGAAAAGTATTTTACCAATGAAGAACTCCACGAGACGATATTTAGCACTTATATTTATTCATGAATGTATGAGGAGTAAAACCTTTAGGTAGGTGTATTGGTATGATGAAAAGCTTTTCCATTTTCTTGAATCCAATATCAATTCCAATTCAAATGGATTATTATTATCGTACATTTTTATTTCATTATCAATGACCATTGAATATTTGAAACATATTCATGCATTTTGTGATGAATGTCATGCACATAATTGTGTGCAACTGCGTGCACTCAAATATAGATCTCTATTGGCAAAAGATTTTCAAGAATTTATTGTTCTTACAGTGCAAGGAAGCCCCTCCTCGAAAAAAGATAAAGCAACATCAAATGCAAGCAATGGAAAAATTCAATTTATCTGAAACGTAAAAATTCAAAATATAGCCACGATGAAGCCTGTATGCCCAATGTATTGCCTCCTCCAGAGAAATCAGCCATGCTGTTGAGGAAAAAGCTCTCGAACATATTGAGCAGTGGAGTGAAGTTTATGGTGATGTGTATCCTTCGTTTAAGAAAGGTCATGACTATGTGGAAAAGGTTTTAAAATTTCAATTTCCAAAATTGAGAGAACATCGTTTGGATACGGCTCGAATTGAGGCCGAAAGAAAACGTCACACTCAAATCATACTGATGCAAAAGTTTAAAAAGATTCGAGATGAAGAATTTGATGAACAATATATTCATATTGAGGTTTGCTTGAGGCAACTCGATGCTTGCTTGAATCAAATTGTTCCAACCTTTGAGAACATGATGAAAGATGCTCTGCTACAGGAAGAGAAGGCTGAGGAAGAAGTTAAAAATAATAGACAGGATACTATCGTGTTGCAACATGTCAATGACGATTCAACGGTGACTCTTGATGCTGACCATTCGTCATCCTCAAGTGCAGTAGCAACCATATTTGAAATGGAGAATACTAGCTCTCACACCACAACAATGGAGAGCGTCAGTGATGGTAATGACCTTGATAACAACAATGATGATGAAAATAAGGCCGTCAAGTCTTCCTTTTAGAAGAATATGACCAATATGAAGAAGAAGAAGAGGACCACAATCCAGAGAATAATGAGGAAAATGAATGGGAAGAAGTAATGATTGAAAAGAATGACAATCAGAGTGATGAAATGGATATGATCTTTTCAAGCGCAGAAGAAATGATGCGAGATGTTGGAATTTTTTCGAACGATTATGAAATTATGATTGATTTGAAGGATATTTTCAAAGATAATGAGACAGTCGATAATGAGGCATTATTCGAAATTTGTAAGGAAAATTTACATGCCCTTAAAAATCTATCTTCCTCAAATCAAAGAATGGATGCGAATAATGACAAGTGTTGAATTAATAGAATCCTCTGACATTTCTATTCGTCAGCAAATGATCATGAAGTGTATCGATATAAAGAATAGAATGAATGACATTTTCGAAAAGTGTGAAAAACTTGGCATTGCAGAAACACAACCTCGATCCAAAACTTGCACTAGAAATATGGAAGAACAATTAGAACGAGCGCGACTAATTGAGAAGCAAATTGTTCAAGATTTAATTTCTCAAAGGAAGAAACGAAAAGGTTCCCCTGTTCATCCTGCCACTACATGTGAAAGTGTCAAGAAAATCAAGCGATGATCACAACGAGCTCGTTGTGAAGAAGTCCAAAAAAAGGGTCGACATCCAATTCATCGTGTTTTGAATTAAAAAGAAAACCGAAAA